ATAGTTCGTGACTTAGCTTCAGTAAACTTACCAATCATTTCATCATATTTATTTATTTACGAGCCTCATTGCACCCCCCTCTGCCTGTCACCCGGGGCGGACCGCCCCCCCCCCTTAGTACGCCACTGATTGGTGGTACAGGTACTCTGATATTCACTAGCCATTCTGATGACTGGATCATTATCAATACTAAATATATTAAAGGAAGAGCTCATAAAAAATTATATTACAGACAACATTAACAGTAGGTTACGACTCATCTATCTGGACTCTTTGGATATCTGAAGAAAGACGGACAACTCTTGTTTTGTTTAATGCTGCAATTAATGAAGCTGCACTAGAAGCGTTGCTTTGCATTGTTGCGGCTGTACTTATCCCGCGTCTCGTTGAACAAGATGGTGGTCTTCTCCCAACTGTTTATAATAACATGGCCGTTATGGCTGTCTATCATACCTCAAATCCTTACACCATTGTAGAGTTACAAAGTCCTAGAAATTTTATGAGGCAGTTATGTAATATACACAACGTATCACCTGTTGGTACAGTAGTAGACATGGTCTGAATAACTGCTGAATAGGACGGAGGTAGGCCTCGCCATGGTCTTGAATTTGCTGAAGGGGTTGTGTGGTGTTTGGGTATGTTACCACCTTGTTTAAGCTGGTAACAATATGACCACTAGGTTACAGTGTTTGCTTAACAGTTGCTGTTTGGGTTTCATGCAAGTATCCTTGGATACCTTGTGATGAACTGGTGCCACAGGTGTAACTATACTGTACTGGCCAGTGGGGTAGGGCTACCTTAAGAGGGATCTTACGTGTGTACAAAAGAACTGTATTAGACGGGGCATAATCGTCAGTCTTGGCTTGACTGTATGCAGAGTCCCGTAAACATAATATAAAAGTTGCAATTTAAAAAATGTGTGCAAACTGCTCTAACGATTTGGTGCCGTCCTCGTGATCCTTATCTTCCGCAATTTCGGTGTTCTGCACGTGCTCACAAGAACGTAAAGATGTAACTACGTAATAATCATCTTCCGATGCGAACTTGCGCATGTGGTCATTCTCAGGCAATACTTTAAATACAATGGAAGTGTTAGTAAACATGCTTTAACCAGCTCTAGCCATTGTTAGACAACTAAGATGTCGCTGGAGGAATCGAGGATGTAGGAGGTAGAGTACTGTATACTGTACTGTCCTCACACACTGGGGTTTGATGGGTAGGGAGAATGAACTGAACCGTGATAAGGTGTGGGGTCGTATGCACGACCTGACCTAAGTTGGGTACGGTGTAAATCACCAAATGATTGATAAATTAATTGTTCATTATTTTCAATGGAAGTGGTTCGCTGTAGATAAATTTGTGTTCCATGCAAATCTTCCCTAAAACCAGTAACAATGCCAGTTCCGATTCAGAGGAACTATTGTAATCTTTTTCGCTAAATGCGTAATGTTTTAACCAAATAAATGAATAAAATATCCATAAATGATAATTCGGCCAAACGAGATTATACTAAATAATAAGCTTGCCCATCAATTTACAGTATATAAATTAAATTATAAGTAAATGAGTAAGTGAAATACAAAATTTATATCACATTAGTAATATATAAAGTAAGGCACTTATTAATTAAAAAACTAGCCTATCATGACGTCTGACATATGATGGTATCAAGGTATGCTGTAGACATGTTTACTGTGTGTAAAAATCTACATCATGTCTGTGAATACCTCATACGAAGACTTGATTGAAGTTCTGGTCGTTAAATTTGTAGAGTTCTGAGGAGGAGTAGCATCTCAGCTGGTGAGAAATGTCACGGCCACTCAAGTATAAGAGCGAAATCCAAGATGGCATCCTGCTATGACGTTAGAGTGGCGTTTCCAATATGGTGTTGATATGTCCAAGATGGCGTCAATGACGTAGTAGTTGCCAGGGGCTGGGTACTATGATGATCCAAGCTTGGTAAACTTGACCTCACATATGATTCAAACTCCAGGGCTCTAGCCAAAGCTTCCTGTAGACTTGCTGGTTGGGACTGCTTCACCTGAATATTGAGCTGAGTGCTGTCCAATGCGTCCACAAACTGGTTCCTCAACAACACGGCTAACAGATCAGGTGATGCTCCAGGGTATGCCCTATGAGCCATACTTTTCAGATCTTGAGCCAGCTGTTGCAGTGTTTTACCTCGATTATGGGTACGAGTGCGGAATCTGGCTCTGTAAACCTCATTTTGGTGCTTGGTTCCATTCCTTTGTTCCAATACCTTTACCAGTGACATGTAGCTGCTACGCTCTTCTCCTGTCAACTGGCCGAGAACCTCCATAGCCGCGCCCTTAAGACTAGTGGCTAATTGCACTGCACACTGCTTGTCATCCCACCCATTTTGTTCAGCTAGTAGCTCAAACTGTGCCTGGTATGCTTCCCAAGAGACCTTGCCGTCAAATTCCTGTGGTTTCTTCTTCACTGGCACTCTTGGATAGTTCCCCAGTTCACTTGACATAGATTGTAATCTGAACTCAGGTGCTGTAATTCAGCTCAGCACTTCCCTTTTCACACGCTCATCGTATTTTCCAGAATTTTCAACACAGTGCATTCCGATCAAGAGCGTGCACAAATGATGTTTCATGCACACCATCACAATTATTGGAGTCACTACAACTCGGCTGATACCCTGCTGTAAGACAATTCTCCAGAACTTCCATCCTGCTACTGACTTTCTGTAGCTCCTGTTCACCCCTGTTAGCTCCTCTCGTACCTCTGTGATCTCACCACTCACTTTTTGTTTGTGCTGGTTTAAATTTTCACCCTCTTCTTCTTTTGTCTCACCTAGTTCAACTTGCACCTCATGAAATGCATTATCCCATCTGCTACACATCACTCGCAAAGCTTCATCCCGTTCATGAATTTTCCTGTTGACATCTTCCTGCAGCTGTTGTAGTTGTTGCTTCTGTTCTTCTCTCTGTTCTTGCAGTAGTTGTTTCTGTTCTTCTCGTTGTTCATGCAACCTTGTTTGCTGCTCCTTCTGTTCTTCCAGTAGTTGTTTCTTTTCTTCTTGTGCTTGTAGCTGTTCTTGCAACCTTGTTTGTTGCTCCTTCTGTTCTTCTCGGTGTTATTGTAAGAATTGCAGCAGATCAGCCATGGAAATCTCCCCTTGCCTGGCCTGGTCACCGTCACCTTCCATCTTGACTGATATCTCACTGCTAGGCTAACCCTACTCCTGACACCAGTGTTACGGCCCTCCTCCTTTCACTGCTTACCCAGCTTCCACCACTAGTTACCAGTGGCTGGGGTTGTATGTACAGTGCAGTAGATATCTCACAAGAGTTGTCGAATTACCACTGGCTGTCCCGCCAGTCTCTGGTAATACCCCGACGATTGGTATCAGTGTACAGACAAACAAGAGGCGGGTAGATTTCCACCAGGTCACAGAAACATTTTTGTGCACTTTAGTCTTCTTTAATAAACAAGAATCCTTCACAATACTGTACTGCTAACAGGGTAATGTCTTCACAGCTTAACTCCACACTTCAAATAGTATATAGTCAGTACACTACCAGTTTACAATTCCTTAGTCTTCTCACTTTACATTAATCAAAACAATTCCACAATACTTCCACAACACTAATCTTCAGTTGTTCTGCTAGGCTTAGTCTTTACACTGGGAATAGAAGCGAGCGACTAACTGCCCCTAGGCAGCCCGTGTCAGCTTAAATATGGTTCGTCAGACGCCTAGAACATTCTAGCGATGTCCAGACACAGGAGGTTGGCTCGAGACCAGTCTGGAGAATTCTAGAATGAGCTAGGCTTACAATAAGAGGTAAATCAGAACAAAAATGATGCAATACATTCAAGAATATTCTTGTACAGTATAATTAATACATCAATATATACACAAAAATGTCATTAAATTTACAAAAAATAACTGCTGCATGGGACAGAAACAATCAAAACACCTAGTTTACAAGATTATAATGTGAAATTATGCCTCGGCATAACAAACATATGATGCAGGCATCCCCGGGTTGCGGAAATTTGCTCTTAGGGAATTTTTAAATTATGACCAATAAATTTGGGATATGGAAAAAAATTCGCCCTTGTGGAAATTGGACAAATTTTTAAGTTAAAATTTTTGTTTCAATACTATTTGGAAAAAAATTCACAGAAATTATACAATCTATTTTGTGTGAATTTCTTGGTGGTTGGTACAATACTGTACAGGGCGAGGCAGGAGCCAGTAGTGCCCCTCCGTCTCCCTGCCAGCAACTCTGATTGTACCACCTCACCTAACGCAGCAGTCAACATCGTTTGTGTCAAGTTAAATTCAAGTGTTTTGTATATTTATTATCATATTATATCATAAAATAATCAATGTATGGGTAAAAAAAAATTATTTTCATTCATAAATGTACTTGTATTACGTTTTTTGCCAAAAATATTTCCTTGGGAACGCATCTCCAATTATATACTGTATATATATAATCAACGACCTCACCAGCCAGGACTCGAACCCTTGTGGGACTAGGGAACGCTACCGACCAACCCACAAGGACACTTGGTCGTTGATTATATGTTCAAAGTCCACGTGTTATATGGACTAAAATCACTTCTACTGAAAGGATTGGGGGCCTCATAAAATCAGTTGAAGGGCTGCACTAGGTCCTGAAACCAAGGGTTGGAGACCCTCGACTTTAATTTAAATCTGATAATCACAGACCCAGATTGCAATTTGTTTACAGATAAATAACTCCTACACACCTAAACTTAAGCTACGGTGTGAGGTTTCAACAAAAGGCACTTTGAATGGTTGTATACCCAATTGAAAGATTATGGAAAATCTATATTGTGTAACAAAACAGAATAACCATTATGGCAAATTCTTCTATATATATATATATATATATTCACATGATGTGTCTGAAGCAGGTAGCCTAAGTCTATACAAAAATGATGTAGTAGTAGTTCATTAATTTTGGTTATAAAATTAGGGTACAAAATATAAAAAGTTTCGATTGATGCAAAAGCAGAGAAAAATTTATTGGGTTAGGAGAATGTTTCCTTAGTCACGGTATTGAACATCTGGTGAAAAACTACAGCCTGGTCTCTGGATGATCTTCGTGGCTGCCCAGATACCACACTTGACACAGGCATCTATGCTCTTGGATTGGACCAACTGCGATAAGAAACCTGAAAAGAACATTTCATGAATCATAAAGAGTACATCTACGAAAAAAGAGAAGACCAGCTGTGCTATAAAACCCTGAAGCTGTTAGATCATGTTGTGAGAGTTGAGGATAGTGATAAAAAAATTGACATTATCAAAATGCAGTTTGGGTTCATGCAAGGGAGGGGGACAACAGTGACAAAATTTAAGCCAAGTCACTATTAGAGAAATGTCTGGGGAAGGAGAAAAAGCTGTACTTTGTAGATTTAACATAGGCATATGACAGAATACCATATGAGATAGTACGGTGGGTAATACCATATGAGATAGTACGGTGGGTAATACCATATGAGATAGTACGGTGGGTAATGAGAAAGTTAGGGGTTAAAGAGTATCTTGTCTGGTGGTTATGGCACTGTATGATGGTCCGAGAACTTTTGTGGGTGCAAATGGTGAGGATTTTGAGGTGAAAGCAGGGTGTCTTAAAAACACGATCACAGTTTTAGAAATGGTGTGCCCAAAGAGATGTTGCTTATTAATGAATTGGTACTGATAGCAGGTAGTATGGAAGAGGTAGTGAGGAAATTTAAGACATGGAAGGAAGGAAGGAAAGAAAGGAGTTAAAGTGCACGAGCATGAATGTGACAAAAGCAAAAATAATGTGTAGTGAGTGTGGAAGGTGGGTACACAAGAGATGCAGTGGTGTAAATTACAGACAGTAATGTTTTGCTGACTTCAGTAAGTGAACTGTATGTACAGATGGCCCTAACAAGGCAGAAAATGTTTGACACATGATATATTCCACGAGTGTGATATAAATTCTGATACCTGGGTGACAATTGATGATGAACGTGGTGCTGAAGCTAACTCAGAAACAAGTGTCAGAAGTGGCTGGAAGAAGTTTATGGAGCTGTTGCCTTTATTGGTAGTGAGAAAGCAAAACTATATGCAGCCAGCATAAGAGGTGTGTTACTGTATGGTAGTGAAACACAGGCAGTTATAGAGGGTGACATAAGTGAGCCGATGAGGCGAGATGGGTGTGTATTCTAACACCGAGAGATAGGATCTAAGAGGGTGGTTGGGTAAGGAGAGTACACTATTGGTGAGGTTTAAGTAGTTCAGGCCAGAGGAGAGAATGGAAAAGACCAAATGGGGAGAGGTAGTGAGATATGACTTCAGAGATCAGCACCTGACAAAAGAGGCTGCAAGAGACTGTGGAGCCTGGACAGCTGCCACCACTTAAACACAGCTACCTCATACAAATATGGAAAATGGCTGTAAAATGATGATCATTAAAAATAATTTACAGGAAGATAAAATACTGCAATACTATCAGTAGTCTACATTATTCTAAATTACTAACACAAGTCCTTTCAACAGTCAGAATATTCCACAGCCTTTTATTTGTTTCTAAGCCTAATAATACCTGCCAAAGAGGCACACACACTCACCTCCAACAAAAGCATCACCGGCACCGTTAGTATCAATTAAATTTTCCTCCGACAATCTAGTTGCTGGAAACTCTGTGATCTTCCCATCTGCAAGAAACAGAATTTTAGAATATCATCAAATTATAGTAATGTAATGTATTCACTTTGTATGTTACTTAAAAAGATATGAGTAAGTGTGTGTGGAATGTTTCTGCTTGCTGTCTTAGTACTTCCCTGTTACTTTTCTAAACTCATTTTATATCAACTTCCCTACCATCTCCTCCATTATTCCAGGTTGTATACACCAGTGGTTCCCAATCTATGGTCTTATTTTGTTTATAATTTCATAGCAAAATAATTCTCTTAGACTTTTGTAATCACTAATAATAATATACTGTGCTCAGTATTTAGTTTATATTTAAACTTTGCTGGTCTGTGAAGTTGAAGAGTTTGGGAAGCACTGGTGTACACCATAATCCACCTCACACACGGGTGGAAAAAAAAAGAGTGAAATTAACAGATAATTAAATAGAAGTTTACATGATATTCAGTACTGAGTAAACATCCACAGGATATGTCAAGTATGGAAATACTGTACTTGCCCTTAGCGAGAATGACATTGTCAGCACCCTGAGTAAATACAACAATACGTTCACGCTTTTTGTTCTTTTTGGGGAGTGCTGCAACCTGGAGAGCGATCTCCTTAACATCTGTTGAACCTAACCCCTGGACTTCGGAAAATTTTGCTGCTTCCTGCAAAGATATATACAGGTAAATGAGAGAAAACCTCAGAATAATCTCTGCAATTTTCATGTCAAGTAAAGCATTACTGAAATATAACTGAGAGCAAAAACTATAAATAAAAGCTAATAAAATATTTATGCAGCAAGAACAACAACAGTGATGAGCATTATGATACTGGAGTGTGGCATCAGTTCCTCCACTCTTTGTGAGGCAAACTTAAAATATGTTAATCTTAGAAATTTACATCTAAAAACCTTTAACATAATGACTTACTGTTTCATTGCTAAAGAGGACATCAATGTAAGGGAAAGCTTGCATCATAGGCTCCTTGAAGAATTCACAAAGGAATGGTGCAGAAAGGTTCATGCAGAACATTTTATTATTTGTACACGCATGTTCGCCGACCATTAAGATAGACTTGGGTGACACAGTCAAGAAGAAACCCTGCCGGAAGAATACAGTGGCTATTACATTACATAAAGACTATTGATAGCATACAGGGTAACAAAACTAAAATATCAACATTAACTGGAGACCTTTAAATATATTCTCCTTATTGATATCACTTCATGGTACTGGCATGGTTGACCAGACAATCAGACACTACAGCAGAATAATAATCCGCCAACCCTCACCTAGCACCAGGATTGAACCCGTAACTTAAGGGCTGGAAGTCCATAGTACAGTACAACCAACTAAGCCAAGGAGCCTTTGTAAGCAATATCAAAAGACATTTATATAATCACAGTATCAAAGACCTACTGTTGCTGCCTCATTGACAGCTGTATCTAGCAGCACTGGGGTTCATACACTGTACTACCTATCCTACTTTTCAGAACAGGAGGAAAATCAGTGTGAAATATAAAAGAACTCTACAAGAAAGAGTATTTGTTCTATTTGAATTACTGCTAAACTAATATTATATTTTAGGTAAAAGAAGTAAAAACTAAGAGTATAATAGAGTATATGAAACAAAATGATATAGTATAAGAACTGCAATAATTAAATGAATAATACCCAAAAGTTAGTGATAAATGAGTCATCAACTTTGTTTGAATTTTCAAGTCATCTGCTCAAAGTAATTATGACCAAGTGAACAGTGGTTAATATCCCTGGCAGCTGAAACAACAACAGCAACACACAGGGTGAATGAGAAGGTTAACAAGGTGATTTATGATACTTACAACAGAGAGTCAGATACAGTGAGGCAAAGGTTAAACAAAGAGAGAATAATAATAAAGAAATCAAGGAAAGGAGAATATCATGAGTAGAGAAGAAATTAGAGAGGGGGTTTATAGTGAGGGGCATGATCAATGAAATAAAAGTCCAGAGGGGATTTTATGATGAAAGCAATCCAATGGTCTAGAACCTTTGTTGGCAAGCTGGGAATCTGCAAGGAACAAGCTGATGGGCCAGTGAATTGAGTGCATATTTTTACTTTTTTTTACAACACTAAATTTGTACTGACAACAGCAGCTGCATCATGCTTGTCTAGGCACATATGATCCCCTTGTACAAATAAATGGAGTTAATAAAAATATCAGATTCTAACATATATCAAGAATTGTTTAGTGGAAACTGGGATATATAAAAAATAATTATCTGCCATTCAGCACCATTGGGGCTGATCATGCCTTAGAACACATCAGTCACTCCATAAAAAAATAAGAGGAACTTGTAAGCATCAGTTTAAATCCAAATGCTCATACAAAGTTTTCTCTCATCTCACCAGAGCTTGCAAGACTTGCTGGAGAAGCAAAAAAGATTGCAGGATATCAATTTCATCATGAGCAGTACACCATGAGCTGTCACCTGCAGTGATGATATGATAAGATAAGGTTACTGAAGCCTTCACTGCATCTTTTAAAAGACACACCAATCCATTCATGGAAAAATATCAGAATCTACTGAACTTGGTTTCAAAAGTATTCATGCCTGAAAATAAAAGGAGATACCACTGTGAACAAATAACAAAAGGAACTAAGTTCTTGAATGAATATTTTTCAAGCCAAATCACATCAAGATTGATTAATCTCAGGGCACCAATGAAGAAGTATCAACTTCAAACATGGAAAACAACCAAAACAAACACAAAAATTAATACTGGGGAGAAAACTGTTGAGATGAAAGAAGACAGACAACAGAAAACTGTTTACTTGCCTGCTTGTGGAATCCAGGTAAACCTTGAATAAACTGTAGGCAACCATGAACTATCTGTTGTGCGCAAGTCTATGTTTGCAGTTGATGGTACAATGCTACAGTGCCACAAAAGAGTAACCTAATGGCTGTACTGTATTAACTTGTAGTTTGCTTTCATCACAAAATTCCCACAGTACCTAACATGCTGTCACACTATTATAATGCACAGATGCCAAGGTTGGTGTGAGAGAGAGAATAACAACAAAGGGACAAAGGAAGGAAGGATATATTGAAGAGAGAAGAAACAAGAAAGTAAGTTACATAAATCTTTATGTACAAACTTGGAAGAACTGGAAGATTTTAAGAATCAGCCTAAATTTATGCAATAAAATGCAAAGCAATCAAAGGTTGTAAGAAATATCATTAGCAAACTTTGAAATAAGCACTATATTTATCAGCTTCAAGCTGTATACAAGGAAAACAAACATTAAGCATTGATAACATAAGAACAACCCTTTACATGTAAACCCTTCAAGAGCTGTGAGATACAGTACTAAAGATTAACTCTAATGTTAAGGAAAATATTTTAGTATTTAAGAGAAAAAGTAACTTAATCTCCTGTAGAGAATGAATCAAACAAACTCTTTTTGTACCCCAATACTGACAACCTTATCAAGGTTAACCCTAGTTAGTTCTGCTCCCTCCCTCCCTCCCTCCCCATCTTGCAATCCCTAGAGGGTGGTTGGCATCAAGGCTGACACACACACACACACACACACACACACACACACACACACACACACTCTCAGGTTAAGGCCAAAGAGATGAAGACAATTCTGAATGTGACTGACAGATGTGAGGACAATTCTGAGCGTGGTTTATAAAGACGAAGACAATTCTGAACGTAACTTACAGAGATGTAATAAAACTTGGCAGCTTCCAATAAGGACATGTTCTCGGTAATGTTCAAGTGGGACTTGGTAAAATGATTGGCAGCAGCAAGGTTAGCTACAAGTGACCTGCACATCCCATTCTTTGTCACTACAACTGCACAAGTTCCTGTGAGAGAGGATCAAGAAGGAGAACTGTCTTTAAAGCAGCAACAGTAACACTAGAGTATCATAAACATTAAGCATAAGTAACACTACTAATCACAAGTTAAATTAGCTCAAGTAACACTTAAAGTTAGTTATATTAAGCTTAGGTAACACTAGAAATAATAAGTTAGATTAAGCTTTGGTAACACTAGAAATAATAAGTTAGATTAAGCTTAGGTAACACTAGAAATAATAAGTTAGATTAAGCTTAGGTAACAGTAGAAATAATAAGTTAGATTAAGCTTAGGTAACACTAGAAATAATAAGTTCGATTAAGCTTAAGTAACACAAGAAATAATAAGTTAAGAGTAAGTTTAAGTAACACAAGTTAAATTAGCTCAAATAATGCTAGAAATTGTAAGTTAAGCTGAAGTAACAGTTAAAATCTATGGTTAAGCTAAGCATAAGTAACACACAGAATTGTAAGTAATATTAAGTACAAGTAACAGTATGACCTGGCCACAAATAAGTACTGTAACATTATGAAGTGGAATTAAAGTGTAAAGCACAAGGAAACGCCCAGGAAATTTATAAATGAAAGAATAAAAAAAATCATAAGTAACACCTTAGAAATTATAAGTAAAAAAGTATCAAAATAAATCATAACATCCTAGAAATTATAAGTGAGCATAACACTAGAAATAATTAAGTAGTACCCTAGAAATTCCAAAAAGGAAACACCGGCACTAGAAATAAGTAGCACCCTAGAAATTGCAAGTAACAGGAAAGGCAAACTTAAATCAAAATACTGTACTGTACTTAATTAGGAAGGAAGGAAGGAAGGAAGGATTCCATGAAGATTAGACACCCTGGCTCATTTCACTTAATAGACTTCCATATTTTCATCATGCTCAGTCAATTAATATTTTTGAGGGTTATAAAGTTTTAAAATGGGTCAGAAATTTATGGACAATCTATTATAACTATTTAAAATCTTGGCATTCTTTTTCACTGACCCCGTGTATGAACTTCTATTTATGTTGTACTTGTCTTGGGTTATTTAGCCTTTGCCCATTTTTTCCTTGATTCATTATAATTACAATATGCCTCACTTGATGCCCATCTCACCATCCACAATAGCTTGCCACTGTGGTGATTCCAGGAAGAATTTGATCATTAGACAAATTTTTGAAGGTTAATATATTGGGATACAATGCACTAAACACATGCATACATCTTCAGAGCACATCATCATTATCCTAAACTAACAAATGTATACACCCTGTCTAATTTGGGTGTAGATTGCGCGAATGCTTGCAATACAAAAGCCCCATTGTCCTCACCTGTGGGACATGTCGTACACCAACAAAGGAGGGCAATGTTCCTGTTGTAATACTGCACAAGCATTCATGCAATCTCAACCAAAACCTGTAAGGCAATATTTACACATTTTGCTCAGACACCCTATACAGCAGAGCAGCTCATCCTGAACCTTGAGCAAATAATCTGATAGTAACATTATCTGTAAACCACCAACAATGCTCGCACATCAACTCTCATTACAATACAACACACTATTTCCCCCTCCCCAACTACTGTACTTAACTACAAACACTTACCTGCCTTAAGTTTAATATCTTCTGTTATTTATGACCATTCACCCAAAATACCAACTTTACTGACATACTGTAAGCCATCATTCCTTCCTCCCTTGATCTATACTCTTAAAGCAGTACTGTAACATTTCCTTCTGATAGTGATTCCCTACAGTCACCTGCACTCAACACTACCAAGTACCAGTGTGTTCCCATTGTTCTTCTACACATACTGTGCTGCTAGTACACACCAACACATTTTCCTTTCCTTAGATTTTCCAACACTGTATTGAGTTATAACTGGTATAAAATATAGGCATATATAGTATATATACCCACAGAGAGAGTATATTATGTAAGCATGAGACTATTTGTTTATAAATCTGGACTTAACCTGTGGTCACCATATTTACATCATCATTTACAATCTTATTCCTCAAGCTGTCACTGCTAACCTAACATAACTTAACCTACTCTTGTCAACTATTCTATGTCCACAATCAGGATATTCATTTCATCCATACACAATCAACAGCTATTTTGGTTTTCAGAATCTTGTTTTACAACTGTCAAAAATATAAATCTTGCTATCAGTTCCAATGTCCATACTGAGGTCACCTAACTTAGCCTAACTAAACATCTGTAACCTTTCTGTCTATGAGACCAGATGTACTTCATATTCAGCTTATATTCATTTGCCAATGTTTGATTCTACAGTACTATCACTATATCCTCTCTTACTCTCTTAAAATTAAAGTTACTTATAATGTGTACAGGTAAGACACAAACTACCACTAAGAAGATACACTAGGTCCTGCAACTAACCAGTGGGATGATCTTCTTGTTTCTGGTAGCGAACATCCACCCCGTCCGCTTTGGCTTTCTTCTCTAAAGTTTCACTGAATTCGTCTTTACCAACCGATCCCATAAATGTAGTACAACGGGGCTTCCGCAATATCCACTGAGAAGGCAAAAACAAATCATCAGTGTGAAAGATTTAGCAGACCAATTTCACATCTACAAATGACCTAACTGAAAACAATGAACCATAAATTACAACATATGAAATAATGTAAAGGATTTATATTTGTATGAGTCACAGTAAGTCAATGTAAACTTAAGTCCTTATATTTTCAACCTGCTAATGAAAATTACAGGTATGTACAGTACAGTACTCCAATTTCCTCCTGTACTAACAGTGGACAATTAAAGTCATAACAAAAAAAAAAAAAGAACAGACCATATGACTAGTGAGCTGGAATCATAAATTAAAAACATTCAGAAAATGAATCAATACATCACCTGTGCAACACGCATGGAGTTCTGGGTGGCTCCACCAGCGATATACTCTACATTGTCCATCTCCGCCATCTCTTTGTACATTGGCTGGTGTTTATCCTCGGCGAGGATTGCGTTGTTTGGCTCCAGTCCATATTTTTCCAGGAAGTCCTCTTTGGTGTTGACACATATATCTAGCAAGGGGTTACCCATACCAAAAAGTATATTTTCCCTGGAAAAAAATCAAACAAAATAACATAAATTACTACAGGTATGTATATGAGTTAACTGATACAAGTGAGAGATGAGGTACAGTATAATATAATATTTTGAACTGATCCAAAATAATACAGTACAGTATAGTATTCCTGTACTTGTCTCAGCATTTTGAATTATCTTACCCGGTATACCTGCATCTGTACCCTCACTGCTGTTTTTGATCAAACAGTGAATAAATTAGTGAACATATAATAAAAATAGACAAAAAAAAAGGGAAGGGAAGGAAAGTTACCCTTAGCAAAGTGTAGTGTATTGCAATACAGTGTAGTGTAGTGTAATAAAGAGTAGTGAAGTGTAATTCAGTGTAGTGGTTTAACCCTTAGGCCCCGGGTGACGTTCCAGAACGCCTGCCTATTTTCCCACCATTTTTATATTATTTATTTATTTTATTTTTTTAATTATTACTTTTGTAAAAGTTGAATTTTTTTCACGATTTAACCCCGCGGGTGGGGGGGTTACTGCCAGCAGCACCCTAACCCAGGGCTCAAGGGTTAATGTGGTGTAGTGTAGTATGGTATTTTAAATGATAAATCTCGGGCCTCACAGGGTGGGTGTTCTGTCTTGAATGCCATAATCTTCCTCCCAAAGCCAGTAATACATCAAATCCTTATCTGCGCGTATCCATAATTATACACATAATAAAAAATAGTGACGTTCAACACTTATCTCAACTTTTAAACACTACTCAGTGGAGCTAACATAACAACAAGAATGGACTCATTATTTACATCATATCTAATAAAATAAAAAAGGCAAATACTGTTCAATGTTTGAATCCTCTTGAAAATAATGCTCAAACCACATCTATCTAGCTATCTATCACCACAGACCCATTACACCATATACAGTGAGGTATGCTATAACGAACGGATCCTACTACGAATATTCCTATAATGAATGGTTTTACCTATAAAATTGAGAATGCTATAACGAACGAAACTCCTTCAACGAACATTATTTAATTTTTTTTTTTTACTAATTTATTGTTTTTTTATTACAAGTATTAATGATATTCTTTATTTCAGGGGTTTAGATGAACATTTATGCACTTTTTACCAATTTTTAAAATTTTATATTATATTTTTCAGTGTTAAGTGGTTGTATTTGGGGGCCTGGAACGGATTAATCCTATGACGAACGAATGCTATAACGAACAAGGTTCTAGAACCAATTAGATTCGTTATAGCATACCCCACTGTACAGTAATACAGTATATCAGCCACACCTCACACCTGATGTATCCTGCAGGAACCTTTAAACTTCACTGCTCCCCCTACAGTATTATGGTCTACAGAATGGTGTCAATCATGGAGTCAATGACAGATACAGTCCCAACTTTTTTTTGACAGTACAAGAAGTGCTTCAACTCACACAACAATTTAGTATTTTTCTTATCAGTGAGATTATCTAAAATATTTAATCAGTCAAATATCATTAAGGCAATTCTATTTTATCGCCAGACAGTGATTACCTGTGTTTTTGAGGTCACCTTTTCATATAGGCACTGCTACATCCTCCATTATTTCGGGCCTTGATTGCAAAAAAAAAAAAAAAAATCCATTCTAATTAACAATCATCATATCACAGATCTTAATCACATTTTCATTCTTAAATAATCTTTTCCGGGATCATTTATATTTTACTTGATCCTTCTCTTACAACATTTATTGTCTGATAACTGAGAGTGACCTGTGATGATCTCTAACCTTGACCCAGGTCACTACCACCATCACTGATCCTTCAACCTCCTACACACAGCTCCTTCAGAGATCTACACAATCTCACTGACCAACAGGCAGAGTAACAAAATGAATGGTTTCAGTGCATGAGGGTCATACTGTACTGTACATTCACTAACCTTCAATGCCCCAACTCTACTACTGCTTCATGAACAATACTGAGTAATTCATGTAGTACCTGAGGTTGATGTCATCACTTTATGAAACTTCAAGTAATAACCACTAAAATTAGTCATCCATTACCACATAATCCCAAAATTTAAGATAAGATAACTGGTAGGAACAGAGTTAAAGGGTATTAGTAGTGTTATCATCTACTGCCTGGTAGCTGTGACATCAGGTGTTATCGACACATTAAAGACGTTCCTCTCGTCAACTTCGTGCATATCACCGGTGCACTTTGCCGAGGACACGTACCGTCTGCTGTTGATCCGGAACCCGAGATAAATTTAAACGGCACTTCTGTTCTTTCCAACAAAACGGAGAATGAAGAAAGCAGTCTGTATACTTGTGATGACCTGCTTAACTGGTGTCATAACAAACCCTGTACAGCGGCAACACCCCAGCGACACTTCGCGACAGCAGCATCCATTTTTCCGAACCTCACCGGCAGAGAAGAAACTGGCACATCGACAGATCACACTTGATAGCAAGATGGGAAAGATGACTGACGTGAACAATAACCAACCAAAAACTATCTATCAAAGCAACTCATACACTTTTATAGAACAACAAAACACACCCAGCACCAAACTTCCAGCCGGGCAGACACCGAGCAGTAGGTCACAAGTCACCGTAAATAAGAGACCTACCAGGGGAGAGGAGCCGCTGATAAACCACGGCAGCACACTAAGAATGGCACTGGAAGCCAAGAAACTTACCAACCAAGACTCTTGGTTACAAGATCCTTCAGACAAAAATAATACTTGTCTTTTTCCTTGTCCTAATGGTAAGTCACAACTCTGTATTTCAGTAGTTACTCCTTACATGTTTATAAAGACCATTTTCCATATTACCTGATTTCAGTACTGTAATTTAAGCCTCTAATGTGTACCAAGATACCCATGGCTCTAACATATACTGTACTATAGACACAGAGACAAAAGTAAAGTACTGTGGTAAAACCTTTATATACCTTTTGACTTAAAATATCCTTACAATGGACATGCAAATGACCTCCTATTTATAGTTTTTAAACAAGAATACAGGTATGGTAACATGATTAACCTGGGCAGCACCTGATAGTGATAGTACAGTATAAACTTTACTAATAACTTCAACTATCCAAATACAGGTACAGTACTGTATTTCTTTTTATCAAGAGCAGTTTACCCATCAACAAATTGTCTCAATTACTTTCCAATTTTTTTATATTTTATTTTGCAATGTAATTTTGTTTTCACAAAAACATGATTGGATTATACTACTTTAATGGTATATCTCCTTTTTTATGTTACTGTATTACAAAATTTAGCACCATGTACAGTATATACAGTTCAGGTACTATACTGTATATAATTGCTTGAAGTTCATCGGATCTTGATAACCTTTAAGAGGCAGGTTGTGATATACTATACTGTGATGTAGTGGATGGGTTAGGTCAGACACTATTCATCAACTAATATAAATTAAGAATTATGATCAGGTACAGAAACAATAACACTCCTGTCTACTTTCAGCTGAGAGTTTCTATCCCTGCGTCTGTGACTCTTGCAACAAGAGTATCAACTGCTCAGCTCTCTCCAACCTTACACAACTCCGTCAGCTATTCCATAATGTCAGCTTCCCAGCCACAAAGTAACTACCATTGTCATCTTGGGTAAAAATGTTTTGTCTCAGTTCAGAAAGTTAAACAAAAGAACAGATTTATGTAAAAATAACGAACTGGTTTCGCAGGAATGATCACAAAAAACTTAGGAGTCGGGTATCTGGTGTGGTGCATCAGTCACAGTGAATCATAAAAAATAGGAAAACTACAAATAAAAGAGACAGGTACTAGTGTAGTGTAAGAATACGCTGTGTAATCGTTTGATCATCATGTAAGTACAGTATGTGAGGATCGTGTGTGCCCCAAACAGACATAAACAAGATTACACAATCAGTAACACGTTCAATGCTCAACAGCCAGACACCCAGTATATACCAGTATAATCTCGAAGTCGCTACCGGTAATTATCAATATCTATCACTAACACTCTACAAAATGCATTACAGTAATACACACATAGACTAAACTAACACTGTACCATGAATCTAGACGAGAGAGAAAAGAAATTGATTGTGACGAAAAAAAAAAGTTCGGGGGATTATGGGCCACACACCTCCGCCCCCTGACTCGGTAACATCCTATGCATATCAGTTCTATATACTGTAGTTGGTGATGACTTAACCAGAATATAGATAAGGTAGAAGTGTATTTAAACAGAGATCATATATAAAAATACTGTAAACACCCCAGCTTATTTCACTTGTTAATTAAAACACCCATTAACCTAACCTACACTAACTAGCCTATTTAAATATATTGTACTGTAGAGACAAATATGTAAACTGTACTGTAATTATTAAAAATTTATAAATTATCATTGATCAACCTACACAATAAAATAAAGTACAATACAATAATGAGCTTTTTGTGTTCAACAGGTTCACCAAGTTCCTCCTCTCTCCTGCACCAAGGGTCTGTAATTCTAGGGGAACCATTTTCCTGGACAATACGTTTGGGAAGGTCACCTTTCAAGATATCCTGGTAGAGTTTACAGATGTGGAGAAAGTCATGCCCCATGCTTTTAACGGCAGTGAAGACACCCTTAAAACATTAACTTTCAGGTGGAATAACAATCTCCGAGACTTCCCATTTACTCAGGTATCCATCTTACCTTTGGTAAATTAACAGTTCACATGAAGATTAGCACCCCAAGCCTATTTTACCTGATGATTAAACACGCTAACCTAACCTTATCTAACCTTTAGGGTACAGTATTCAATAATTAGGTAAAGTAACCCGGAAGATTAATCATCATGTGATCTATATCAAACACAAGGACTTTATCCTATAGAGAATAAAAGGGACAATATATAATCAGTATTGTATTACAGTATTTTACATGATAAATGATTCCTGCACTCTGAAGGAAATTTAAAAATACTATGCTGTTTGCCATTCATTCATTATTTCAATACAGTACAGATTTTTAAGTTTTTATTTTTCAAACTGTCTTGGTGATTGTGTATTACCCAACAAATTATTGTTCCAGCTAACTAACTTCCTGCACCTTAAGACATTAGAGGTGTCTGGCGGGAGACTACAAACAGTTCCTGCAATGAGTGTGGTCCCCAGCCTGACCAACATCTACCTCAACCAAAACCAAATTTCAACAATTCCACGGATGGCATTTGCAGATTTACCAAGCCTGGAGGTAAGTGCAGTACTATAATTAAAAAATGGTACTTCACAGTAAAGCAATTGAAGCAATGCTTATTAATTATGACGATAATCAAAACAATGATACTAAATTTTTTTTTAAATTATACACTGTACAGAAACTTCATTGGACTTAAAACAAATTCTATAACTTTGATATCACTTAAGTACTTAAAAATTGTCTCTATCATCTATAATCATGTTAAATGTTTATTTAACCAAACCTAGCCTGTAGAGTACAGTACATTACCTGTACTTTATCCACAGGAAAAAAAATACTGTACAGTATTGTAAAAAAAAAATCAAATAGATTACTGTACAATCATTATACAGTACTACATACTGTACTGTACTTCAATATTTATAAAAATAACAAATACCTGTATTGTATACTGGTACTGTAAAGTACACACATGATCAGAGATTCGTAAGTACTGTAACTTAATCAACCAATTCCAGTTGTACTTCAGTCACCTGGTTTCAGGTTCTGGATTTAGGCTACAATAAACTTGAAGAAATTGGGGAAAACCAATTGCATTTCTCCTCGGTGGATGTAGTCCCATTCCTTGACGACAACAACATAAGCTTCATTCACGAGAGAGCCTTCAGTTTTCACCAGCCTAGTTCTCTGGATGTATCAGATAACAGCCTTCCTGCTCTCAACCAGAAAGTCTTCCAGGTAAGTTAGGGTAAAGTTCTCTCCTATGGTAACTACAACCAACTTGCTGCACCTCTAAATAGAACTAACCATTTCCTAATTTAAACCAACTTGCTATAGCTGTAAACTGCATTGAACTAAGTCAGAAAAGTCCCTGAAGAAATTACCGGTAATGACCCAAAAAGTGACTGTTTCACCTATCCATCAATAAGAATGACTGGAAGCTACTCTGAGGTGGCAATACTTATCAGCAGACTTTATCATCTATGGAGGGAACACACCTACAGTACACATACACATCCACTTCAAAACACACTCTATGACACACTAGTGCAGCAGCAGTCTTAAACATCCTAACATAACATGATTGGCAAAATACATGTTTCTTAAGATATTTTGTTCTTGTCCTTATAAAAATTAAATGTGAGTGAAAGATAATCAACAGTTCTCTGAGATTAATTTTTTAACAATGGATACTTGTCTTTAGGTGAAATGAATTTGTCCTTTGAGTCAAACTATTAGTACAGTATTTATTTCTACAGACTGTATCACTTATTCTCTGACCCTTTGAAACAAAATTTTATTAGAATATATTTGTACAGTTAATTTTCAGTTGTGTGATTCAAATAAGAATTTTACAGAACAATGTATCTTTTAACCTTACCTAACTTAACCTCCAGTAAAGTATGTGTGCCCAGCTTAATCTATCCTTATCCAGTTTAACCCACCCTCACGTAACTTAACCTGTCTGTGCCCAGTTTCTACCCTTACCCAGTTTACCCTAATCTTATCTAACCTAACTTATCTTTACCAAACTTAACTTATCCTAACCTGACCTAACCTAACCTTTTAAGTCTCAACCTTCCCTTAACAGTGTGAGTTTGTAACAAAAACGTGTCTCTAACAGCCCATCCTGGATCTCATCATTGTCAGCCAGGATAACAGGAGGTACATTGATGCTGAAGGCAACCCTCTCCGCTGCAATGACATCGAGTGGCTCCTCAATAATCCACGGGACCTCTTCTACACCTTCCTGCCTGACCCTTACTGCATCCCATAGCGACCACCCAAGACCTATTTATTTTAATTCAACAAATCCTCAACTTCAGCTTCGACACTTACTCCATTCATTAATAAAAAACGGCAGTATGCATAATTTGTTAATCAAATTCATGTCGCTTTTGTTAAAGTTAAAAACAGCAAATAATTGTTTTTCTTTAAAGATTAAAAAAAGACAATCTTACTCTCACACTAAAACCACAGTAATGTTCTCAAAAGTTTGTCACCATGTTTATACACAGTAGGCATAGGCATCAGTGCAGAACTAAGACCATACAGTTTAAGTGAACTTAATGTTTAAACCTACAGTGTATATAACTTTTAACCAATAGATAATACATAGAATTAATTAAGGTAATGTGTGTTACATAATCCACACGTTGAGAACACCTCTGATGGGATACACTAATTACGTAAATTACATAAACAATACTCTACACCGACTTTTGAAGCTATGTAATGAGGCAATGGCACAATAATCCTTAAACTACCGTACATATGTTACGTTGGATTATGCCTTCAGCAGGATACAGATTTAAGTACAGCCTCGGACATGTTTTAAGTGGATCAAGGGAGAGCGAACATCAAGAAGAGACAAGACAACAATGTAAAATGAAACGGGAAGAATTGAAAAAAAAAAACATGACACAGAGCTGCTCATATCCTTAATTTATAAACAAATTAATCTAACAGTGCACAAACAGATGCACAGAAATTGATTGTTAATTTATAGGTGCATTTCAATGTTAATCTTGCCAATAAAATGAACTGGCAGAATTTTTGACTATGTGACTGTTCTCCTGAGTTGGCCAGAGAACAACTTCATTTATAATCTCACTAAAGGTAGATTCATTTGATTTCTGTTATACTTAAGGAAGACAATAGGGCACACCTCCTGGCAACATGATGAAGGTGACGCCGACATGTTATGATGATAGCACTGTTACAGGGAATTATCAGAGAATGTGGCATGGAAAAAGTCAATTATGCATTTTGGATACATTCACTGATTTCACATGTACAAAAATAATAGCTTTAATTTTGAGATATTAAAAAAAATATATATTACAAACAAAACTTTTTATCTTCTCCCCTGTACAGCAATTGCCTATTTAGTGGTGAAAACAATGATCTCAAAATGTAATACTGTACATTTCATTGGACACTGTGACCTTGACCTATATAGATATCTTATAATCAACACGTAACTGGCCAGTGTGTAAACAAACCTGTGTCCTATGTTTTAAAGACAGACAGGCAGACAACACAGGTAGAGAACTTATCCCACGAAAAGGATGCAACAATGATACTAGACACCGATACTTCCTTGAAAGATGTTGAACAAGTTCACTAAGTTTGGTTTGTGAATCATCTTCTGTGAACAACATATCGCAGGGTAAAATGTGATATCACATGAAGATTAGCTCCCCACTTTAATTCACCAGATAGTTAAACACCATCATGTTATCGGGGGGGTTAGTATTAGGGTATGTTAATCTGAAGGTGAAATAAACTAGGGGATTAATCTCCAGGTGATCCCAGGTATAGAGTGACCCTGATCTGTTAACAGTTTCCTTGTTACAACATTATGTCTTATGGATACAATTCTAAAGCATAATGCATTACCCTCTTCTGTAACCTTATGGCAGTTATTAATGATGATGTAATGTTTTTCTCGTTTTCATTTCCACCTTAACCTGGTCACTCTTGCCTAAATAAGATGACTTCCTACATGTCAAAACCTGTAATAAAATCATGGATATGTTCAAAAGCAACATTAACTATACTGAAAGTCCACTGTAGGTGATTGCACAGAAAACCAGAAGTGTACAGTATTATACTATACAGTATTTCGACCATAATCTTCGGTCCTCTTAAGCAGTGTGAATTATGTGATATATATTTACACAATTTCTTCACTTTATCTTATCTACTTACAAAACACATTTCTAAGTAACCTTGAAGTGGATTTCTCCCCTACAAACGCTGTTGTCGCTGAGTAGCCGACCCCACCAATTCCCGGGTATGCCTCGTGGTCTAGGTCAACCAGCGCCGCCATACAACACGGAGCGGGGGTCAACTACTAAGCCACGCCTACCCCCGCTATTTAAGACCTGACCTCGTAGTGACCTGCCTCTTTCTACCTAAACCAACCAGCAAGCAACACACCTCCTCCGCCGCCGCTGCCTGGCGGCCCTCGCTCCTCCTCCTCCTGCCTGGCGGTCCTCGCTCCGGCCGGCGAGCATGGCGACCCACAAGCTGTCCTTCTCTGAGCGTCCTCACCAACCAGCTCTCTCTACATCACGCTTGTAACCATGCTGCCTTCCCAGCACAAAGCTGCATTGTACATCCAATACAACATGTATATAGAGAGCACATTGTGAGTTTCCTTTCTCCATTCCATCCTGAGTGTGAACCAAACATCATGAACCCCACAACCTTGCCTTCTTGTTTGGTGCCTTAACTAGTTAACAGATTGCGCTCTCTCTCACACACACGTGCAGATGTTCGACAGCACTCATAATTGGCTGCTGCTTACTCTCAATACACCGTCAATTATCACACACACACACACAATTTGTATGGTCCTGTTCATAATGAAAGCTTTTGTTAAACGTATGTCAACGTGTATAATAAATAATTTCTAGTTAGCTGAGAAGTGGTGAAAATTATTGAAGAAAAAATCTCCCCGACGTATATTTTCAGCGTTTTCGCAACTGAACCTTTTCCAATTACCATTAATTATTATTGTATTATATTACACACATACACAAATAACTTAAAACACCAGGATTTGACCTCGTCTTCTTTATCAACAACAGAACCAGAATAATCTACTTTTACTTTAAAGTAAATGTCGCTTGAGACGATAACTAGACCGACCATAACCACTTGAAGCTGAAGCTGGCGTTGTATCTCGGCAGGCGGGCGGGGAGGGAGGGAGGGAGGTGGGGGGATGGATGATAAAGAGGACGGCACGCACATTATCCGAACTCCATCCGGGTATTCTTAGTGCGACGTTATAATGACAAGTTTCAATATCCATCGGCGTATCCCCCCTTTCCCCTACGATATCGAGAAAGAGAGAATCAGACCAAACCAAACACCCCCAACAACAACAACAACAAATACTGTACTAACATCAACCACCAGCTGATCATTATGTCAAGTCACAACCTCGTCACACCTCACACACCCCTCTCTCCCTCCCTCCCCTACCACCACCACTCGCTTCCCGCCATAACCACTACTGAAAAGCTCTGTCCACCCACCCAGATGTCCCGTCCACCTGCTGCCTCCACCCAACCCAGCTGATCAATCATTCATAATCGTCCCACTTGAATTCGTAACTCAAGTGGACGAGGCCTTAGCAACTGTGATGCAAAAAAATATACTGGGATGGGATCATGGGGATAGTTTAGTAATAATATGGAATGGGTACAATTGGATGGGAGAGGATAAGTTGAGAAGAGTACAGTGGGATAGAACAGGGTAGGATTGTAATAACATGGGATGGGTTTGGGTACAATAGGATGGGAGTTAGCAGGTCGTGTAATAACTCGAGATGGATCTAGGTACAGAACGATGGAGTAGGATAGGGTAGGGTTATGATAGCGTAGGATTAATTAGAAAGTAGGAAATTGTACAGTTCAATCAGAGAGGAGAGCCGAACGTATCGTAACGACGTACACAAAACGGGTTACACAACACACGTTACCCAGAGGGAAGAGTCCAGTCCTTCAGTAGATGTACTATCATTCTCCAGAGTACCTCACTATCATCTCCCATAAGATCTTATCCACATTATCTCTATGTAATTAAAAAAAACGGCCAAGTCAGCTGCTGTTTTATCAATCCTTTCGTATATCTGATGCTGCATCAGTGATGGTTTTATAAAGTAGTCTTGTCTCGAAGACATTCGCGGAACAATGATCAAATAAAGCTAAAAATCAAACCACGTTTTGCCCTTACCGATCACTGACTGCGTGGTGGGGATGCTGCCATATTGGAGACATCTTTTATTAATGATCGTCTAAGGTATTTACGGTAGAGAAAAATCGAACCCCTGTCTCTGTACTTGAAATGTCAGCCACGATAATGTAACAAACGGTTCATACTGATAAAACGCCATAAACCAGGCACCGGAATTTGGTTTTCTTATCGCGGGTCCAAATAATGAGGTTTGTATCAGTATTTGTAAACAAAAAAAGCAGATACGGCAATTCGATTATTTAATAAACATCAATAACAAGAAATTATTTGTTTGGAATTTAATCAACAGGCTGACCATTTATACACGAGTTTTCTCTCTGGGTAGATGACGTTAAAGTGGCCTAAAAATTCACACACAGAGGGGGAAGAAAAAAAAAACACTAGCTGGCATCGTTAGTGGTGGAAGGTTACCATGCGTCGAGCCATCACGTGCGAGGTGCCACCTACCTGACGGTCGCCATCCTCCTGCTGCTATCTAGTGCTGTCGACTGAGAACTACCACTTGTCTCGCACTGTATTTATAACCTTCCTCTGTGGACGAGTCCATTTGTACAAACAAGTGGGGGAAGACCACGCCCTCTAATCTATCCCCCTACTCGAGATAATTCCCTAAACCCTGTACACCATTGACTTAAGTGGCAATAACAATACCCATTCAATGCTTCCCTCAGGTTACTCCGTCAACTCTTTTCGAAGCACAGGTGAGCTTGATAATCTAATCAGAAATTTAATTAAATGCCCTATCGCAGACTGCATCGGCTACTATATCCTATAATGTCACCACAAGACAGGACAGACGACCCTGCTGACGTTGGGTTAAACTCTAAAGCTTGAGCTGACGTGGACGACTTATCGCGGCCATGAAAAATTGTTAACATGTAAGAGAGTATTCATGATAAAGTGATCCAGGTATATTATGTAACTCCCTCTGTCTGCTTCTACAAGTTTTCTGTAAAGATCCTTAAAATCGTCACCATCTAAATCCATTTCTAACATGTAAAAATGTACGTATCATCTTGTTAAAATCTTATAAATCAAACTCAAATTACAAACGGAAGACTTGGTAACATAATATCCATAATACTTGCTGACTCATTTAATAAACATGCAACTAACAAACTAATGCTATCATAAGTTAGAGCCTTGGTAATAAAACACGCTCCTCATTGTCACCTAAACCACTGTACTGTATATTACAGTCCTTGGGCTAAACCACACTCTGGACTAAGACACGAGACGACAAAACAAGCGCCTGACAATGTGTAAATAAAAGAGAACACGTAAAAGCCTCCAAGTACCCTCTAATACGTCGACTTTCCCATTTAACAAGCATTTGTTTACAGGTCACAAGCAGAAGCCAGATCGACATGCATATAGATAATCAAAGTGCATTATTATATGTCATCAAAATACATCGGTCTAATCCTAACCAAAAGTATCTAATAGCGTCTACGTATTTCACACTAACCTTACATTTATATATGAATTATGAATCTCCTTTGTCTGGTCTAGGTAGTGTTATAATCACAAAATTGGATATACTGTAATTAAAAATATCCACTAATGTATTTACCACAATTCAAGGACTTACCGTAATTAACACGTTTTCTCTCAAAGGTGATAGAAAGCAGATTTACGTGTTATATCAAGGTGAATAATTAAAACGCCCTGCTCAATAAACAAAAAATAAATAGTATTGGATTCAGAACAGTGCCACACAAAGAGTTTTCTGACCTTAATGAAAGAAAAAAAAGGGGGGGTGATACCTACCCAGCACCAGTTATTTTGAACTTCAACAGCGGCCAGTAATATCATCAATCCACCTCCAAATATTCTCTGTGACCAGTAATAGATATTTTCGAAAGGTAAAAATGATAAAAAGGATTACTGTTCTGAGTACTTACAGGAAATTATCAACAAATACAACTACTACTAATAAAAATAATACATCACTCTTAATATTACTAGCAATAATTAGCATTTCCTTAAATAATTTCCCATTTTATCGACCCACTCACCTGTTTATACCATAAATCGTGCTGTTTAAACATATTTTAATTCTTAAATGTGGCAACTCGTTAGATAGAGAAGAAAAAGATCGTGGGTCGCTGAGTACACTGGAGGCTGTTGATATATATGACAGTAATAATAAGGTAGACAGAAAAAAAAGTATCTTTATTGGCAGGGCCCCCGAAGGCCTCCCAGAAAACTTGAATCTAAGAACTCGTTTTCCTCCAGACAAAAAGTCACTTCATTGTCTTTTCTCTCCATCCTCTACTCATGACTCCGCTTGGTCGTGGTCATTTTCCAGATCGCATGGTCCGGCTATTCGAGAAGACCTACTGATTTACTTCATACTTCCAGCCTCCATTTGTGAAATAAAGCGGCCATTATTTAGTACGCTAAGATGTGTCAAGACATGGCTTCGCTCAACAATGTCAACTTTTGCTTTCCTCCCCCAGAAAAA